ATACCTGTCGGTTATCTATTCTAGGCAATTCTTCCCAAACTAAATGTTCCCTACTAACCTCACTTTCTCTCCTCCCCACCACCATCCTCCAAACTTGTTTTCCTCTTCCTGTGTTCTATACAACACAGCCCAAACTGGAACTTTCAGAAGCATTGCCTACGCCTTCCTCTCTCTTAACACACATATCCAATTTGGCCGCTCAGTTATGTCCATTTTTTCTCAGAAAACATAGCTAAACTTACTCTCTTGTAGTCCCATGACCTTCATAATGTCCCTACTGAACCATTGAACAAAGAGCCACCCGATTTATTGTCTAACTGCGATTCCCTCCATTCCTGTCAGCGGTCTTTTCAAAATAGGTGTCAAAATGTATCAGGGACCTACTTAGCTCCAGGTGCTGCGCTGGGCATCGGAAGTCTAACTTGGAAGTCTTTGGCTTCCACCAAAAGTGTGAGTATTTTTAGGGTGGGAGCTTTGGCTAATTTAACTTTATATCGCCAGTCCCCAGCCAATTACCTGGCACCTCATCATTGATTAATAGATACTAGTTCGAAAGAATGGGCGAATGAACGGAAAGTTCTAGGTCTAAGGAGGTCTTTAAAGATGAATGAAATAACCGTTCTGTTGATGTAGGAAACAAAGGCAGAAGAAGAAAAATTAACTTCCTTACAACTTAGAGCCCATTGACAAGACCTTGAAACAGCCTTCCTCTGGAAGCTCAGTTTCTTCGATGATGCCACTTGCTAAGGGCGAAAGGCAACCTTAGCTTAACATTATCCTGCCCCCTCCCACCCTGAACGCTGTATGTCTACTCTAACATAGAAAAAATTTTTTGGAAACTTCCTTTATCTCGACCCCTCCCAAGATGTATGTTGGAGATCATACTCCAAGCATATGGTCCACTGATACACATTTGAAGGGTCTCATGAACTGAGTTTTTACTAGATAGTAATAAATGACCTTTTCCTAACAATAGCTAACTCTTCAAGTTAAGGAAACCTTGTTTCCAAAATACTTTAGAGCCTTAAGCTACCCCCTCATCCCCTCTCAACCTGAAGGTATATAATTAGCTACTCTAATTAGTTCACGACTCCAGTGCAGCTCTTTCTGTCCACAGGTCCTGTCCCCACACTTTAATAAAACCACCCTTTTGCACCGAAGAAACCTCAAGAATTCTTTCTTGGTCGAAGAAGCCTCAAGAATTCTTTCTTGGTCGTCAGCTCTAAATCCCAACACTCCAAACCACATCACTGCATTCAAGAAAGAAAAATTACCTGAACATTTAAGACTCAGACAAAAAATGTAATACGGGCAAATAGTTTGACATTTGCATAAAATCAGTGTGTGAAGGGTCAGACCTTTTACAGTTTTCACTGTAGTGAAATAGGCAAAGTAGGTGGGCTGTAGCAGTTGTTTCCTAATTTTCTAAATTTCCCAAAATGCATCCATTTTCAAAGATGCTAATGGGCATCTGGGGAAACTACCCTGGGGAAGTGGAGGGTGAGTCAGCAGGGAAAGAGGGGAGATGTCGAGCTGTACGCATGTGAAATAAGGAACCAGTAAAAATGACACCTTGAGAACTAGTGTGGACGTGCCAGCTTCTGGCTGGTAGCTGCTCCCCTCCTTTACACCTTCAGACAGATTGTTTAGGAAACAGTCAAAATCATATTTCAGAAAATGCTCTGTAGGCATTAAGGTATCTCGATTAGGATCCTGGGCCACAAAAAGGACATTAGCAGAGAAACTGGTGTTATCTGAAAGAAGTGTAGTTAATAATAACCAGTTTGTAGTTCATAGTAATTTACCATAGCTGATGTCTTGATTTTGACAGCTGTCTCATGGCCAGCTGAGTTGTTGACGTTAGGGCAAACTGGACGGAGGGCAGTATTTTTGCAGTGTTTCTGTAAATCGAAAATCATGCCAAATAAAACCATTAAAAATAAATTCCAGTTCTGAAGTCTCATCTCCATAACATACAGAGAAGCAAGGGTCAGCTTGTGATTCATTCACTGGCAGTCAGATGGGAGGACTTAGGGGGACAGTGGTCAAAGACCTTGTCCTTTTAAAGTTCTCTCCCTTCCCCATTCAAGCCTCACCCCACCCCCGCGGACCCAGCCCAGCCCTGGACTCCCCCCTGCACAGCTGCTCCTGTGGTTCTGCATTGTTATTTAATGACATATTACGGCTGCCCGCCTTTTCTCTGACCCCAGATCTTTGCTTGTCTGACTCCGTTTCTATAAAAATACCTCCTATACCGAGGAACTTGCTGCCCTGTCCCCATCCATCTGTTATACTAATCATCTTTTTAAAATGTCTTCCCAGATTTTAGCTCCATGTAAGTTACCTTGTTCGCTCGCTTGTTTACCTGATTAATATCTGTTTCCCTCTCTAAGCAGCAAACTCCCTGGAAACAAGAACCTTGACCGTCTTCTTCACTGCCTGACCCTTGGAGCCCAAAACAGCACCTGGCACAGAGTAGATGTTCTTTAAGTCCTAAATGAATATAGTTCTTGCAAGAAAGGTTTCTGTTATGTAGTTCTGTACCCTCCCTCCCTTCTAGAAGCACTGCACCAATAATTGGAGAATTGTGGCAGTGTTCCTCGAAATCATCTCTCCTTTTCAGATCCATCAGTTCATGGAAGAAGACATTTCTTAAGCACCTGTCACCTGCTTAGTACAATCCAGAGAACCAGAGTCAAGCATCTGAAGGCGACACCTCCACTTATTTACAGTAACATAGCACTTTTTAAGTTCCTACACACGATAGAATGGTTAACTTGTAGCAGGTAGCATTTTAACGTTCCTGGAAAATCACTTTAGGAGTCTTAACATGGTGGCTGGAGAGAGAGAGAGGCTCACTTATTTCTTTTTCAAATTCTAAGGAGTTTGTGAAATAGACCAGTTTCTTTCCCGGGTGAAGCGAGACTTTTTTAAATTATTTGAATGGAAAGAAATTACACACATATCTGCTTGTTACTATATAAACACTTCACTAAGGCTTAAGGATCTCAAATTGTTACTGGACCAAAGTGTGTCTGTTTCTTGGTGAGCTACAGACAGAAACCGCACCAGAAACATTGCTTCACAATGTTTGTTACTTTCTTTGTTCAGTTATTTCCAAGGTGTGAATCTCTGAACAAGGGAAAGCAAGGTCTTTTGATTAAGGTTTGGGATGATACTGGGAGGGGAATTTTAACACTATACTGGGGCTGAGGTTAACTCTTGGTCACTTTCTAATTCATATGTGCAGGTATCATCCTCAAATGTTTCTTTTTTCTGTTTCAGAAGTTCATTAGTTTCTCAAAAACTAAGCACAAGCTTCTAGGGGTATCTTGAGTTCAGGAGGTCAGCCCTGAGTTCACAGGGTCAGTCTTGAGTTCAGGGGATCAATTCCAAGTTCAGGGTGTCAAGAGGTCTCACAGGTGACAAAACACAATTGAAGGAACAGGTTGGGTGAAGCATGATCCATATTAAATATAAATATTTAAATAATATTTAAATAAAGGCAGCACCTCCATTCCCTGTGGCTACCGCAGTGCACATATGCAGAGAGTATGGGATCAGACTCCCATCTCCAACCTCATGCACAGATGAGGGTGCTGAGGTATTTTTCTTTACCTCAGCTGTTTAATCTTCTACCCACTCCATATGTCCACTCTGTAAGTTCCATGAAGGTGAGCTGTGTGTGTCTCCCCAACATTCTATTCCCAGAGCTGAACACACACTGATCACATACTCCTAACATAAATATGCTCACAAATTATTGTGAAATGAGTGAAGAATTGATGAATTAATATATTCCGGGGAAGGAGACATTTGCCATGGGGAGCCCAAGCAAGAAATTTTTAAAAAGTTTAGTAAACATACACTGAATAGATACTGAGATAGGTTCTAACAGGGAGGGGCAAAAGGAATTTCAGAGGCATGTGTGATTAATTGCCATTTCCCCAAACTCGCAGATGCTTTGTGAGGTCTGATCTAATGATACTGATTTATTTGCTAGACCTGGTGTTAGAAATTCACTATGAAAAGTGTCTGGACTTTGAACTGCAAGGAGAGTGCAGATTTCAAAGGCAAAATTCACAAGATTATATAACTTGTTTCAAAGAATTATGATCACTACCATAGAGTTAAACTCTAAATGTCGTCAATTTAGCTAACAGGTGTTACATTGTCTCTACTTTAGTCCAAAGTAGAAGAATATGTTCTGGGTGGTGATCCCAACTGACCAGTTACCGTTGACAAAAGGCAAGAGTTCATGGTGTTGCAAGAATTGAAACAAACAGGACACATGCATAGGGCAGCTTCTCAGTATCCTCCAAAAGTCTTTATTTTTTTATTAAAACACTTTTAACATTTATTCATTTTTGAGAGACAGAGTGTGAGCAGGGAAAGGAGAAAGAGGGAGACAGAGAATCCGAAGCAGGTTTCAGGCTCTGAGCTATCAGCACAGAGCCTGATGTGGAGCTCAAACTCACCAGCCGCGAGACCGCGACCTGAACCGAAGTCGTACACTTAACCGACTGAGCCACCCAGGTGCCCCACCAAAACCCTATTTTGAATGACTCTCTTTACAACGCTTAACTTTGGAAACTTCTTTCACAACTAGAGATGAAATTCAGATTTTATTTTATTTCTTTCTATTTTATTCAACTTTCAAAATAGTCCAGGATACAAAGAGGACAAGCACTCAAAACTGGAGACTCAAAAAGGCCCTCTGCTCGGCCTTGTTTCTTCAGTATCCGTTGCGGAAGCTTACGCTCCCAGGACCTGCAAGGGCCCTAATATGCTCAGCCCGCTCAGACACAATACGAACCTGAGCAGGACCTCCGCTCCTCCAGAGGGCGCTGCAGGGTTCGGTAGCCAGGGGCAACCGGTTGCATACGCGCCGGAAGCACTTCCTTCCCAGATGCATTCTCCCCGCCCATTCTACTGTCCTCGAGGGATCCCAGTGACGTATTTCCGGTCGACGGAGTCGCGCACGTGCGACCGAGGCGGAAGTAACGTCAAACCGGGTAGCGGAGTGGTGGCGCCGTAGTGGTGGCGCTTCACCGACAACATGTCGCATCTACCCATGAAACTCCTGCGCAAGAAGATCGAGAAACGGAACCTAAAATTGCGCCAGCGAAATTTAAAGCTCCAGGGTGAGATGCGCGGGGACTGGCGGGGACGGGGGTTCGGTGTCTGCGAGAGCCCCCGCGGCCCCGGGGTGGAGCGGCCGCTTACCCTGAGCACGTGTGCTTGTGGAGGGGGGAAAGGCAGCCTTCGCGGTCTCCACTCGGTCCGCCGCGGGTGCCGCTCATCCCGTGCCCTGGATCTGCGCCTGAGTTCTCTCCCAGGCCTCCAGACCAGCTAGTTCTGCATGTCCCTCATTCTGACTCCCTCCCCACCTTTACGTCCCACACCCCCACTCTCCCATCACCAATCACCCCTCCCCCTCACCCCGTTTCCGATCAGACACATTGAACTTTCTCGTCTCCACGCATCTTCCTTCCACATCTGTTTACTGCCGACAGTGCTTGAGGACAAGGTCAGTGTCTCATCCCAGAGCTTTGCTGATACCACTGCCTTCCCCTGCCCACCTCCACTCTCTCGACTCCTGGAGCAAATCCCGTTTGCAGCTCTAGAAGTGCTTCTGCAGTGCGTGCCCTATTTTCCCCATCGCTCCTAACTTTAGGTTGTGAATCCCTTCAGCGTTTCCAGGTATTTGCATCCTTAACAAAGACGTATCTGAAAAGGCCGTTACCTGAATCTCAGTCACCTTTCTTTCCCCCCTCAATTGCAGTCCTAAGTTCCCAACAGTGAACCACAGATCGTGAAGTTAGGTTAGCCTTTTGGGGTCAGTCCCCCCAGGGCGGTGTTGGATCGTGCGTGTATAACCCCAGTCAATCCCGGAGGGCGGTTCCTTACCTTCCTTGGATTTCAGCAGAGATTAGAAGAGTACAGGTTTGTGGGTTTTAGAAATCACGGTTTGAAGTCCCTGTGTGTTTCCGATTCATATAGAATAATACAGCCTTACTATTTTCTTGGTGCTTAAAGGTAACAGTTAAAAAGGCAGTGTTACTTTTTATTATATGTAAACAGGGAAGCTTTTTAAAAGGCATCCTAGGCATTTATATGTAAGTAAATGGTTCTAGTAACGGAATTTTCAATTCTCTGCTACCTGGGACAGTTAAAGTTGGATGTTTTAAATTTATATGTGAAGCAGTAGTTGTGTGATTAGCCCTATATTTACCTGATATTAAAATATGTGTTTGTAACTACAGTTGTCCGACCCCATCTATTTAAATGTTTAAGGTCATTGAAGTTTTGCTGTCCCAGATTCCTAACTCCTTAAGGACAGAAGTGTGGTTTTTTGAAGTTAAGAAATCAATAACCCTGTTCCAGCATTTTTCATTAAAGGACATTTACTTGTCCTGTTGTAGAATGCCATAAATTATAAGTGGTCTTAGTGATGTACATGAAAGGGAAATGGAAGCAACTTATTTGAGTCATGGACACTGTGGGGTTTCTTATTTGGGCTTCTAACATTTTTAAGGAAACCTCCCCTTTTTAAATAGGGGCTTGGGATGTGAGCCTCTCAGAAACACAGAATGGAGCCTACGAGAAACTGCCCGAAGAAACCGTGAGAAGTGGGAAGGTTAAAAAATCTAAACAGTCTGTGAATGTGGACTCGTCAGAATCCCAGAACGGAGAGATGGCTAAAGAAACCGTGGAAAATGTGCAAGTGAAAAAAAAGAAAAAGAAACCTACCATAATAATCAACGGAGAAGCAGCAACACCACCCCCCAATTCAGAATCCAAAAAAAAGAAGAAGAAAAAGAGGAAAATGGTGGGTGACGTTGGGCCTGGTGAGTACTTCAATTCCCTCGAATTTCAAGCATTCACGTAGTTTGCACGGTTATGTTTCTGCCTTCGTTCTATTATTTTTACTGTATTCCTACAACACTCAAGATCCCTGTACTCACTGGTATACCGGAAGCTGACCTGGTAGCAAAAGGAAACAGGGTGAGGGGGATGACGTTTTCACTTATGAAGGTACTGGAAAGTGGTGTGTTTTTACCTTCCCTAATGACTGAAGAAAAATCTCACACTTAAATAAAAGCCACTTTGAATTCTGGAAATAAGAAATCCGGGCTGGTACACTCTATTGTCTCGGGCCTGTATTATCAACGGACTTTGCATTAATGATTCTTTCATTTACCCTTTTCTTGTCAGTTTTGTTTTGTTTTGTTTTGTTTTGTTTTCCTATCATAAATTCCTCCTCTTGAGACTTACTGATGTTTTGGATATGCAGAGTGTATAAAAACTACCAGGTAACTTGTGTGCGAATGGCCAGGATAGGGGGGAGGCCAGTTTCTTTTGGAAGGTGATTGGATTTGAATAAACTTGCATGAAAAATAGGCTTTTTATTTTTTTAATGTTTATTTATTTTTGAGAGAGAGAGCGTGAGCAGGAGAGGGGCAGAGAGTCAGAGACACGGAATGCGAAGCAGGAGCCTGGCCCAGCCTGGGGCTCAAACTCATGAACCGTGGGATCATGACCTGAGCCGAAGTCAGATGCTTAACCGACTGAGCCACCCAGGTGCCCCTGAAGCATAGGTATTTTAATTGAGATAGGAGCAAGCAGAGATTTCAAGGGGGAATACAACAGGGGTCAGCAAACTATTCAGCTCTCTGCCTACTTTTGGAGATAAAGCTTTATTGGAACAGTGCACGCCCATTTGTTTACTTCGTTTTTATGGTGACAGAAACCATATGGCTTGCAAAATCTAAAGTCTTTACTCTCTGGGTCTTTATAGAAAAAGCTTTGTCAACACTGGGTTAGAACTATCTTAACTAAAATAAAGGTTGCATTTATTTATTGAAGTTTATTTTGAGAGAGAGGGGGTTAAAGAGAGAGAGCAAGAGCGTGAGCAGTGAAGGGGCCTAGAGAGAGCAGGAGAGAGAGAATCCTGAGCAGCCTCTTCACTCTCAGCACAGAGCTTGATGCAGGGCTCGATCTCACAAACCATGAGATCATGACTTAAGCTGAAATCAAGAGTCAGACATTGAACCAACTGAGCCACCCAGGCGCCCCTGAAATAAAGGTTTCATTTAGAAAGGAGCTTTGTAGGGGCGCCTGGGAGGCTCAGTCACTTAAGCGTCCAACTTCGGCTCAGGTCATGATCTCACCGTTGATGGATTGGGCCCCACCAACCCCATCGGGCTCTGCTGATGGCTCGGAGCCTGGAGCTTGCTTCAGATTCTGTATCTCCCTCTCACTGCCTGTCCCCCACTCACATTCTGTTTCAAAAAATGAATAAATGATAAAAAAGAAAGAGCTTTAGAAAGGAGCCTTGTAGTTTTGCAGGCATAGCATAGCTGTCCTCATGCCGCCCATGGGATGACCATTTCACGGAAGGGTGGTAGTCAGGTGCAAGGAAGACGCCAGTCCTGTACCGCAGAGTCCTGAGTTCCGGTCCAGGTCAGTTCTGTTGTAACGAGCATAACTAGCTACCACACATGTGCAAACACCCAGTGTCGTGGTTAACATGGAAGAGTGCGATGGGAGGTGAGGCTGGAGGGGTAGTTGGGGACCCTACTATGAAAGGCGAATGTAGAAGTGAAATGCCAGGAGGCTTTAACCCTTCCGCCCCTGGCCACGTAGCTTCAAGGAGCTGCCAGTTTCTGTCCCCCAGCCACGCGGATTGTCCTTGCTCTGCAGTCTCTAGTAACGTGAAGAGCCTTTGGGGTTTCTGCTCCTCTTTAGGCTGAAATTAGATTTATTTATTTTTTTATTTTTTAATTATTTTTGAGAGAGAGAGTGTGAATAGGGGAGGGACCGAGAGAGGGAGACCCAGAATCCGAAGCAGGCTGCAGGCTCTGAGCTGTCAGCACAGAGCCCGACGTGGGGCTTGAACTCACGAGCCCCAAGATCATGACCTGAGCCAAAGTCCGATGCCCATCCGACCGAGCCACCCAGGTGCCCTGAGCCAACGTTAGCTTTTATAGAAGAATTCTGTTTAATGGCCTAAGAGGACAAATCAGGGCTTTTAAAAGAGTTTAGAAAAAAAACCCCAGCCCTTTTACCCCTCAGTGAAACATATGGGACTTGATGTGATTAGTATACTTGAGTTGGTCAGCTTGTCAAAAACGTCTTGGTCATTTAAGGTGTTAGAATAGGCCTAAAAAAATACTTTTGTTGGCAAATCTGCATGTCCTCCTGTGTTTCTAAATCTAAGAAGATCATGAAGAAGAGACATTCTTAGCGAATTAAAACTGAAAACGTCTTAAGCTTTTGAAAACGTGTCTCTGCATTACATGTCTTTTTATTTTGTGATCCCATTTGGTACTTTTATTTTAACAAAAGTTCGGGGGGTTTTGTTTTTTAAAATCAAAGACCCCAAAAAAGCAAAAAGCGAAGACAACGGGGAGTCTGAAGAAGGCGCGCGAGCGCCAGGAGAGCCAGAAACCCGTGCGGAGGAGCCTGATGATCAGGAGGAAGGCGGCGAGGTGCCCAGCCTGCCCCTGGGACTGACAGGTAACTGCGAGAGCTGTCCAGGGACACCTTACAGATGCCATGCCCTTCTGGTGTAGAGGATTTGAAGATTGTGACCTAATTTCCCTAGAAGAAGTGACTATTGACAAGAACTTCTCACCTGTACCGCCTGATCTTGCACATTGTGCACCTTAGTTCTTCACTTGCGTTCCTGACACTAAATATTTTGTTGTCCACACAAAACAGCTTCTGGGGTTTTTTGTTCCTTTGGGATTTGGGTTTTTTGTTTTTTTTTTTTTTTTTTAATGTTTATTTTTGAGAGAGAGAGAGACAGAGCATGAGTGGGTGAGGAGAAGAGAGAGAGGGAGACAGAATCCGAAGCAGGCTCCAGGCTCCCTCCGAGCTGTCATCACAGAGCCCGATGTGAGGCTTGAACTCCTGGACCGTGAGATCATGATCTGAGCCAAAGTCGGACACTTAACTGACTGAGTTCCCCAGGCAGCCCTGGTTTGTTGTTTTCTAAAGCTGATTCCATTTTGCAGTAGGAAAGCCATTGGCCCCGAAGTCTGGAGATCAGAGGTTTACTACCTGCCCAGTTACAAATAAGGAAAGATGAGAGTCACATTGTTGAGGGCCTTTTGCCAGGATAATTTCCTGTGGCCTCCATTTGCTTTAAAAGGTCAAGAGTTGAGACTGGAATCACTTGCCCCAAACCAGAAGTGTCCAGGAGTTACTTGACTTGTTTGGTTTGGGTTTTTTGCTTGTTAAAATATTGAGCCCTCTCCCCCGGCTGACTTCATCAGAATTGCAATGGTTACGGCAGTGGGTCTCAGCCAGGTAGTGACCAGCTCCTCCCGGTTCACCCGGAACTTGACCGTTCGAGGGCCTGCGTCCCATAAACCTCCGGCCCAGGCGGACGGCAAAGCTGACTACTGGGATATTTGGTTTTCGGAACTGGGGGCCGGGTGCTGGCACTTAGTGGGTAGGCGCCCAGGAGGCTGCAGGACACCCAGTAACGCACAGGACGGCCTCTCAGGACAGTGTTGCTCAGCCCGAAGGTCAGCAGTGTCGGGGTGGGACCAGATGTGGCTAGTGAGCAGGGGAGTGTGTGGGCGGGAGCGCAGCCTTCGAGGTCGGTGCCTTCCCCTGTGGAAGCACCTCTGCACACTCCATGTGCGCTTTCCGTCTAACGGCGTGTGGCTGTCTCACCGTCACGGTGTCTTTTTGGAATGAGTAGCAGCTCTTTTGATTGACTTTATACTCAGTTCTTATTATACTAGACGCTTTCACTTTTAATTTCAGATTGTTTACACATTTCTTTCCTCTCCGAACCACCCCCATCCTTGACATTCTCGTTTCATACAAGTCCCTCAATTACACACACACACACCCACACACACACACACACACACCCGTCCTTTCCTGTTTTGTTGCAGTATGGGTTCTGGACCTCATGGCCAACAGCAGTGGAGAAACTTTCAAAAGTAAGGCTCTGCGTCTTAGGAGCATATAGCAGTGAGTGGTTAGGGTTTAGTGTTTCTTACCAGATGAAGCTCTTGATTCCCACTCAGAAATGTTTTCAAACAGCAAAACTAACTCCACAACTGTAGCAATGTTAACTACCTAAAAAGATAAATTTACTAACGATAAAATGTCTTTTGCATAGGAGCTTTTGAGGACACTTCATTTGCTTCTCTTACTGATCTTGTCAATGAGAACACTCTAAGGGCAATAAAAGAAATGGGTTTTACAAACATGACTGAAATTCAGCATAAAAGTATCAGACCACTTCTGGAAGGCAGGTATGATTAACACTGATATTTGGGCATTAGTATCTGTTTAGTGTTAGCAGTTTAGAAAGAAAATGCCAGTGTGTTCTGTTGATTTTGCACTGTGTTGGGTTGATACATCCATGCTTCATTAAAGTCTTACTGGTGTATGAAAAAAAAGTCCACTTCTCTTTTATAGCACAGTTCTTGTTTCTCAGATATTTAATCTCGGATTGATTTTGGAGATAAAGAAACTGGGGACTTTGTTTTTATTATTTGTGTTCTAGCTTTAATGCCTAAAGTGTGATAGTACACGGTAAAGTATTCAGTTAATACTTGTTGAATAGGTAGGCTAAATATCTCTCTTTTCCTTTCCATTTCAAATATTTAGGGATCTTCTGGCAGCTGCGAAAACAGGCAGTGGTAAAACTCTGGCATTTCTCATTCCTGCGGTTGAACTCATTGTTAAGTTAAAGTTCATGCCTAGGAACGGTGAGTCTTTGACTTGGTTGGTTTTGCCAGTATCTAACCTGGAAGTTTATCAGAATTGTCACTGAGTCACGGCAGTACCTGCAGTGTGACTTTTACCGTGTGTGACTTTTTGCCTTTTAGGAACAGGAGTCCTTATTCTCTCACCTACCAGGGAGCTGGCCATGCAGACCTTCGGTGTCCTTAAGGAGCTAATGACGCACCACGTTCACACGTACGGGTTAATCATGGGTGGCAGCAACCGATCCGCTGAAGCACAGAAACTTGGAAACGGGATCAACATCATTGTGGCCACACCAGGCCGTCTCCTGGACCACATGCAGGTGAGGCGGCCCTGGGACGCAGCCCCCATCTCACTGCCTTGTGTGAAGCGTAAGCCTGACGGCTGACACATTTTTCTCTGCCTTTGCCTTGTTAGAATACCCCCGGGTTTATGTATAAAAATCTCCAGTGTCTGGTGATTGATGAGGCTGATCGTATCTTGGATGTTGGGTTTGAAGAGGAATTAAAACAAATTATTAAACTTCTGCCAAGTAAGTCGGTAATATCTGCATGTGGTTTGCAAAGGACTGTTGGGAGTGAGTGAGGGTTCCTCTGTGAAGACTTTTATCACCAGAATTTTCATACAGCCAGGCGCAGTAGTTGTGCCGAGGAGAGGGAGTTTGCGGGACAAGGTCAGACATAGCAGTAGCTTAATACGGTGGTTTTGCCATGTTAGAGGCTGTGACATAAGCTGGACAGTCCTGAGCTCTCTCTCCCTCCCTCCACCCCCACCACCCCACCTCTTCCTCACCCAACCTGCCATTGCCAGGTAGCCGCAGATGAGTTACATGCTTTGGTTGTAGTATTTGTAACGTTATAAACTCCTTATATCTGTGATAAGGCCATGGTTCCATTCATCATGGTTTGTTTCTTAATGCCTTATTGAAGTATAACCGACAGTAATTCTAAGTATATAGTCGGATGAGTTTTGACATGTTTGCACCTATGAAAGCGTCCCCACAACTGCTAGTGTGAACATGCACGTAACGGTCAGAAGTCCTCTGTGTGCCTTACAGTCCCCCCTCCCCTTCAGAAGGCGCGCCCTCTCCTACCCGTCACAGCTGCTCAGGCACTTCTCTGCCAGGAGGTCACCGGTGTGCTTTTTGTCACTTTCGATCAATTTGCGTTTTCTTGAGCGTCGTGAATGGAATCCTGTGGTAAAACTCTTCTTGTCTGGTTTCTTTTGCGATTCATCCAAGCTGTTGCAGGTGTCCAGGTTTATTGTATTCTTGAGAAGCATTCCATGGAACCGGTGTGCCACACCCATGGGAGCCAGGTGGCTGGTGCATGCTTAGCTTGCACCATTCTACGTTCCCATCAGCAGCAAGAGGGTTCTATGTTCTCTAATACATCTTGAAATTAGGCCGAATTAACCCCAACTCTGTTTGTCACAATTGTTTTGGCTCTTCTGTCCTTTGCATTTCTGTATAAATTTTAGAATCACTATGTCCACTTCCACCCCCCAAACCTCTGGGATCAAGGTTGGTTTTGTACCGAATTAGATACATTGGTAGAAGACAAGAAGTCATTTAACCCATGAATAAGGTTCATCTCCACTTATTTGCTCCTTACTTTCTCTCAACAGTGTTTGAGTTTTCAGTGTACAGATTTTCTCACATATTCTATTGTATTTATCTCTATTTCATTAAACTTTCAACTTCAATTTGTTCATTGCTTGTGTATACAAATGCAATTGATTTTTGTGTATTGGTCCTGTATCTTGCCAAGTAATTATTATATTCAATTGGACTGTTCATTATGACCCTCTAGATGAGGCTACCTGCTAAATTTTCCTCATAAGCCATTGTGTTGTCTGTAAATTTAAAAGGAAAAAAAATCTTACTTCTTGCCTGATTGCACTGGCAATATGAACCCCTGGTTCAGTACTGAATACAAGGGGCAAGAGCAGGCGTCTTTTGTCTTTTTCTTGATCACAGGGAAGAAAGCTTTCACTCGTTCACCATTAAGTATGATGTTTGCTGTAGATTTTCTTGTAGATGCCCTTTAGCATGGAGGATGAGGATGATCTCTTCTGTTCCTGGTTTCCTCAGATGTTTTTGTTTTTCTACACATACTAAATTACTTTTATTAATCCAGAAGGATATGCTTCAGATACTATACACTGTAAACATTTCTTCATCACAAAAATGGCTTCCAAACCATTAAAAATGAAATTGCAATAACAGCATAAAACAGAACAGTAACATCACAATAAGAAATAGATATTAATGGGGCACCTGGGTGGTACAGTTGATTAAGTGTCTGACTCTTGATCTCAGCTCAGGTCATGATCTCACAGTATGTAGGTTCAAGACCCGCATCAGGCTCTACGCTGATGGCGCGGAAGTTAAAAAAAAAAAAAAAAAATAGATGTTAAATTTTATCAAATACTTTTTTAGTCTATTGACCACCGACTTCAGCTCAGGTCATGATCTCATGGTTCGTGAGTTTGAACCCCACATCAGACTCAAAGCCTGGATCCCGCTTCAGATTCTGTGTCTCCCTGTCTCTCTGCCTCTCCCCGCGCCCCCCCCCAGCCCCCACTGTCTCTCAAAAATAAATATTAAGAAAAATGGTCAGATGTTTTTCTCTTTAAATTTGTTAATATAGTAAATTACATTGGTAATTTTTAAATATGAAGGCAGCCCTGCATTCCTGGAATAAACCCCACTTGGTCGTGATGCATTATCCTTTTTACATGATACATTCACCTTTGCTAAAATTTTATTAAAAAAATTTTACATCTGTGCCCATGAGTCATTATTGGGTTTGGCATCAGGGTAATAACTAGCTTCAAAGAATGAATTGGGAAGTAAAAACTCTTCAAGTCCTGGGGAGATTGTGAGGAATGGGTAATATTTTTTCCTTAAACTTTTGATAGAATTCATCAGTTTCCACTAATACTTTGGGGCTAGAGTTTCCTTTATGTGATGATTTTGGCTACAGCTTCTGTAACAGATACAGAGCTATCTAGGTTTTCTGTTTCTTCTTGAGTGAGGTTTAGCCATTGGTCCTTTTTTTCTAAGTTGGTCAAATTTATAGACCTGTAGTTGTTTGGGACAGTCCCATCTTTTTTTTTTTTTTTTTTTTTTTAGTGTTTTATTTATTTCTAGGAGAGAGAGAGAGACACTGTGAACAGGGGAGGGTCAGAGAGAGAGGGAGACACAGAAACTGAAACAGGCTCCAGGCTCTGAGCTGGCAGTCAGCACAGAGCCCGATGCGGGGCTCGAACCCACGAACCGTGAGATCATGACCTAAGCGAAAGTCGGACACTTAACCGACTAAGCCACCCAGGCGCCTCCGGGACAGTCCCATCTTAACATCTGTAGTGACTCCCATGTCCCATTCCTGATAGTTCCCTCAGCGTGTCTACGTGGGCAGCAATTCTAAGGATTCCCTGAAACATTTGGGTCATTTTTATGTGTACCTGTTGCAGCGCGCAGGCAGACCATGCTCTTTTCCGCCACACAAACTCGGAAAGTTGAAGACTTGGCGAGGATTTCTCTGAAAAAGGAGCCGTTGTATGTTGGTGTGGACGATGATAAAGCTAATGCGACAGTGGATGGTCTTGAGCAGGTACTTTACTCTTACATTGATGGCTCATCTTTGTGTCCTTGAAATTGTTTGCAGGATCATCCCCAAGGCAGATGGATTCATGAACTTTTAAATTTTTTTTTTTTTTTTTAATTTATTTCTAGGAGAGAGAGAGAGACAGCGTGAGCAGGGGAGGGTCAGAGAGAGAGGGAGTCACAGACTGAAACAGGCTCCAGGCTCTGAGCTGGCAGTCAGCACAGAGCCCGATGCGGGGCTCGAACCCACGAACCGCGAGATCATGACCTAAGCGAAAGTCGGAGGCTTACCCAACTAAGCCACCCAGGCGCCCCTTTTTAAATCAAATATAGTGAACTTGGTATTGGATCTCTGGCTCTCCTGGTATTGAATATTTTAAACTATGAATAATTTGATCAGCTCTCTTTATCCTGTCCCTTAAATACTGCTTACCACATAGGAGACATTAATCACTACCAATTGTAACTGCAGTAAAAAAAAAAAAAAAAAAAAAGCCTTCGTTATTTAATGCTTTGCTCTAAGATGCAAGGTGAGTTAGCGAACGGAGAGGCTGGTTTCAGGAACACTGCTGTGAAAACTTGGAAATGAGGTGATGGATCCAAATTGGGTGGATTAAAAAGGAGAACAGTAGGGGAGCCTGGGCGGCTCAGTCAGTTCAGCTCGGCTCAGGTTATGATCTTGTGGTTCATGAGTTCGAGTCCCACATCAGCTCTGTGCTGACAGCTCAGAGCCTGGAGCCTGCTCCAGATTCTGTTTCTCCCTCTCTCTCTGACCCTCCCCTGCTTGCACTCTGTATCTGTCTTTAAACATTAAAAATTTTTTAATAAAAAGAAAATAGAACTTTATGATTGAGTCTTTAGTGAATAAAATATTTCAAATAATCTAGCTTAAAATCTTTTTTTTTGTTGGCTGTATATTTTAAGAAATATACTCAGCCTTGTCTTGTTTAGGGCTATGGTTACTTGCGATCTTGCTCTTAAGGACCTTTCTAGGAATGAAGCGTCGATATGCTTCGAGGGTTCTCAGTGAGTAGAGATGTTACCATGTTACGGTTGCACAAGCTGTCGGTAACCAGGAGCCTGTAATCTCAGAAATAGGGAAAGTAGTCAGTATCTAGTGATTGCACATGGTGAAAGGAACCGAGAGAACTAAAATTAGTCTCATTGTAGGAATGCTCTGTTACAGCGAAGATAGTAATCGCTGTAGGTGAGGCATCACGGTGCCATGTGCGATATTCATCTGTGCTCGCCCTCAAATCATAGTGGTTCACGAAGCTGAAAATGTCTGATCATTTTTCATTTCTAGGGGTATGTTATCTGTCCCTCCGAAAAGAGATTCCTCCTCCTCTTTACATTCCTTAAGAAGAACCGGAAGAAGAAACTGATGGTCTTCTTCTCATCCTGTATGTCCGTGAAGTACCACTATGAGTTGCTGAACTACATCGATTTGCCTGTCTTGGCCATTCATGTAAGTGATTATCATGAGTTTATTTAAAACTGTGACACTTACCAGGTTCTATGGATCCTGGGATTTGCAGTATCACTCTTCCTAAGTCTAGAACGATCCCATGTGGAAGGAGCTTTGCTGGGTAGTGGGGGGTGAGGACCACAGAGGGGTAAGAGACACCATCCACTTAGGGAAATAGGATGTAGGCCAGTGAGTGAGACTGAAATGAAGGTTAGTAGTTCCACCCCCTGGGGGTGGACACCCAGACCTCGCAGAAAATGACCTCCGGTTTCCAGCTCTAATGGCTGTTGTGATTTGATTCTAGGGAAGGCAGAAGCAAAATAAGCGTACGACCACATTCTTCCAGTTCTGCAATGCGGATTCGGGGATACTGCTGTGTACGGATGTGGCGGCCAGAGGGCTGGATATTCCCGAGGTCGACTGGATTGTGCAGTATGACCCCCCAGACGACCCCAAGGTACCTGGTGTCCTTGGAGCTTCTCCACATTGACTCTGCATTAAGGACTGAACTTTCCAGTCTCCCTGAGAAATAACCGTGTTTTGTATTCAAAGGTTTATCCCTTAGTTACTCAGGTCATGCTCTTTTGTTTGTTCGTTTTGTTTTTTAAAGTTTATTCATTTAGCGAGAGCATGTGCACGAGAGAAGTTGGAAGCAGGCTCTGCACTGGCACTGTGGAGGTCAGCTCGGGGCTCGAACTCACAAACTGTGAGATCATGACCTGAGCCAAAACCCAGAGTGAGCCATCCAGGTGCCCCTCGAGTCATGTTTCATTGTGCCCGGGCTGCAGTATTTCTCTGGTGCTGGCAGTGTCGAGGGCTTCTGCTGACCCGAAGTGGGTGTGCAAGATTGGAGAGGCCTCAGTGAGGCTGAAGTCAGGAACACACATACTTGAAGTCGTCTGTTAAGAGCAGTAGGTTTTAGAAGGAAATAAAATTTGCTTCCTGAAATAGAGAAGATTCTGTAGCATGTGTGTTAACATAAGTTTTATTAAATATTTTCAGTGAGAAATAGATTACGTAAATTGTCACCTAGCACTAAGACATGTTCAAAAAGTTATTTTGAAGATGAAGCACACTTACTAGAATAGTCATTTCTTTAGATCATAGAGTTAATATAAACATCGTGTCCCGTGAGTGTCGGCCTCGGTCATTGCCCTGTTAGCTCTGCGGTGATGGCGCCCGTGGAAGCAGGGGACATGGAGAAAAGGCGGGTGTGACAAGGGCCTGGGGGAGGAGCGCCGCCTCACCCAGATGTGCTGACATGCTTCCCTCCTCCACATGCTGGTTCTGAAGGACAGGTCCCCGTGGTGGTTGGTCTGTTAACTCCGGTCTTTCTCCATCGAAGGAGTACATTCATCGTGTGGGAAGAACAGCCAGAGGCCTGAACGGAAGAGGGCACGCCTTGCTCATTTTGCGCCCTGAGGAACTGGGTTTCCTTCGTTACTTGAGGCAATCCAAGGTAAAGACTCCAGCTTGGAGACTCTCGCTGGGAGCAGCTCCGTCTTAGTAGGACCGGTGCGCCTGTGCCGACGGCCTGGAGCACCACTGCTGGATGGGTCAGAGGCTGCTGTGAGCCGAGGGGCGGGTGACGCCGGGCGGGGCAGGCCTGAGACGCCAGCAGCCGTGGGCCTCCGCTGCCGCACCGCGCGTCCTGGCTGCAGGCCTGGCCCTTCACCTGGAGCCCTGGCTGAAACCACCTCCGGCCCTTCTGAGCCGCGCCTCCACCTGCCCAGCCTTGTTTTCACCCGGGCTCCGTTCACTCTTTCTTGCCGCCTCCTCCTCCTGTCTTGTTCTCGTGGACTGTTTTACCCCCGTCTGTCCTGTGACCATGTCCCGTCTCCCACTAAAACAGCTTCGACCCTAAACCCATTCTCCTTCCTCTCCCTCTGTGGCTGCTCCCGATGGCCTCTCTTCCTTCTGCTTTGGAAAGTGGTTTTTATTTTTGCTGCTTAGTGTCCACCCACGCTAATCTGGCTCTCGCCTCATTCCATCCACCAAACCTAAATTCATTAGAATCCCGAACGCCTCTTTTTTGCTCCGTCTTGTGCACGCTGGTCAGGCCTTCTCTTGACATTTGGCCCCCCCTTGGCAGTTACCAGGTGGCCTTGGCTCCACCCTGCAAGCATGCAGTTCCTGGAAACGGCCTATGCACCTCTTCTCTGGAATGCCCTTTTCCTGGATCTCTAGAACGCTCTGGTTTCAGCGAGCTGTGCTGTCTTCTGGGAGGCCGTCCCTGACCTGTCATTCGTGTTCCACAGCATGTGTGCTCATCTCGCTGTTCTATCCTATACCCGTCTTCTCTGCAAGATGGCGGGCTCGGGGGGTCCAGGGCTGGGCCAGCTATTTTTCCAGCACCTCTCAGAGGTCTGGGAGTTCTGCAGTTACCTGGTGAGTGACGGCTGAGAGACCCTTCCCGTAGGAGTCTGTGGTCCTCGTGGCCTCCGGGCGTCACAGAGGCGTCCGGCAGCCTCGTGGTGCACCCAGAGGTCTTATGTAGGGGAGAGGGCCTCATCGGCTCCCTGTCCCTGCCCAGCTCAGTTCCTGTGAAGCTAGCAGGGGTAAGATGGACTTTGCCACTGGCTTCGGGAGGCCAGAGGAGCAGCCGTCCGTCGTGGGGAGTTGCACGGGCCTGGCCGTGTGTCCTCTTCATACCTCGTCGGCTCTGGCTCTTCCCGGCTCTTCGTGGGACGTTTGTTGCTACTCGTTCATCTAAACGTCTGAACGCTGATCTCTCCTGGTTTACTGATCTTCACGCTTTTGTTTTCTAGGTCCCATTAAGTGAATTTGAGTTTTCCTGGTCCAAAATTTCTGACATCCAGTCTCAGGTGTGTTTGTGTTTTTGATTCTGTTTCATACAAGGTGGCCTTACCCCGGGTACTGCCTTTATCGTACTCGTTGGTAATTATTGGCCTCTGAGTCTTCCCTTTTCATAAAACAAGAGGTTTGAACTGTGTGTTCTTTTGGGGTTCTTGCTATGCTGGAACATTCCAGTGTTCTGCCTTGTTCCAGTTCATACCCTGCAAGAACTTTGATGTTATTCTTACTCCACCCTTGTTTGCAAATATTACGAACCCTGGAGCAGTGTTTCTGGAGCACGTTTCTCTGCGGGATGGTTTTGTTCTAGTAACAAGTAAAAGTCTACTTTTGTAGTTTATTGAAACCAATGTCTCTTTTTTTCTTTTTAGCTTGAAAAATTGATTGAAAAGAACTACTTCCTTCATAAGTCAGCCCAGGAAGCATATAAGTCCTACATTCGAGCATATGATTCTCATTCTCTGAAACAGATCTTTAACGTTAATAACTTAAATTTGCCTCAAGTTGCTCTGTCATTTGGCTTCAAGGTGCCTCCTTTTGTTGATCTGAGTATCCTTTGTTGTTGGGAATTCATCCGGTAACTAAGGGGCACAGGGTTGACGGGACGTTGGGGCCTAGCGCTTGGTTTGCTCTGCTCTGGCTGAGGTCTGGAAGGTAATACGTTCTGGTCACTGCTTGCTGGGGCTAGCGCACGCTTGACAGGGATTAATTGCCGCCCTGGGGATTCTAGAAACAAGACAGCTTGTGATTTGGCCTAAAAAAACAAAAGGACTTGACTGGCAAACAGTGAAAGCCAGAGAGTTGTATTCCAGAAAGAAAGGCAGACGGGTAGAATCGCAGGGCCTGGGTGGTTGTGAGGCCTCCCTGTACGAGAGCTGAGGTCATGGAGAGCAGCTTGTCCTGGAGCTGAAGGTAAGAGAGGAGACCTTAGAGTTTTTATCCCTTGAGAGCCACTGAATGATTTCATACAGGAAAGCTGCAAGAATAGCAAAAGAAAATAAATAAGATCTAAGTGCTACTCAGTGTAAAATCCAAGGAAACCCCTCCAGTTGCTTCTTTGCAGTTGATACTTTATCCTCCTGTTTCGACAGAGGAAACAGCCAAAGTGAGGCCTGTTGACACTCTGGCACTGACTCCCGAGGGGATGAGATTCGGGGTCCCCACCCTCACCGTGGGTAGTGAGGAAACGTCTGTCGTGATGAATGCTTGCTGAACCAATTGAACGGAAGGACTCCTTCCGTTGGTTAAACATTCCTGAATCCACTCAGAATGGAGGTGAAGGCATTTGTGTGGACACAGTGTGGTTAGTACACGTGCCACTTGATGTCTCAACTCCTTATAAGTAATTGTCTTCAGTTTCATTGTGTGCAGAACAGTAAACTCAACTATTTCCTTAGGCTCATAGCTGCTCCTTTTAGGCCACAATCAAGTGGCCCCTCCAAGCTTCCTGGAAGTGTCACCTCCAGGCTTTTGTAGACATTTGCATGGTGCAGGGAGGAGGTGTGGTGGCAGAGCCGTGGTCACATGCCGGCACGTTCTCTCTGTAGATACTAGGTGGGGATGCATTACCTTTGTGTTGCTTAATTTCCTTAACATCCACCTTTAGACGTGAACAGCAATGACGGCAAGCTTAAAAAGAGAGGAGGTGGCGGCGGATTCGGCTTCCAGAAAGCCAGGAAAGTCGAGAAGTCCAGAATCTTCAAACACATTAGCAAGAAGTCATCCGACGGCCGGCAGTTCTCCCACTGAAGACCCGCCTTCCGTTCCTACTGACTAGCTTTGTCCTGAAATGGACTTTCCCCTTTTCTCCAACAGAGGAATTTTTGTGGCTTCAGGATTGGGACTGATTGAACAGGAATATAGACTGATTTGGGTTGTAAGCACTGAACACTGATCACTTCCAGGAAATACCTCTCTTTACCTGGGGATATAAAAAACAGTTAATTTTTTTTAGGTTGCTCAAGGGCAAAACAAAGGATCTTGTGGATAGAACATTTTAATTCTTTTTCCTCCAAATCTGTCATTGTTTTAATGTAATTCTTTTTGTACCTTTTCCTCCCCGGTGGCTGAAGATCTTTGCCGCACGGATTTCTGTCCCAACCTGCTGTAAGAGGCGGTGAGCTGATACTCTGAACCCGGTGCTCGTGGTAGTGATGCAGAAAATTGTCTCCGTTTATTTGGTTTTGTTTTTGGTTGTTTCTTGGACCTTAACCACAGTTCTTGACCTCCCTGAAAACGCTGCTGTGTCTAGGAAGCACAGAGCACAGAGGTGACATTGATTTTTATACAGGCCAGCTTTTAAAACAGTGAGCCCTTCCCGTTCTTAAGAGTGAGAAATGTGGGCTAGTTGTCATTGTTACTTGAATAAAGTGCCCTCTGCACTCCCAGCATTTGTTGGGAGCAGTGGGAAACAGACTTTTGAGCCTCATTTACACCAATACAGGTGTTATTTGATAACTTTGCAAAAAACCTTTCCGGAAAAGGCATAGAGCGGTGACACGCTCGTTCAGCTTTGCTTCAGGGGGTTTGGATTTTGGTGAACCCTTCCATCCCTGCAGGGTACCAAGGAGGCAAAGCATCTTTTTGAGAAAAATTGCGCCTTTCAGATCCATGAAACAAAGATTTCTGAGGCAGCTTGGACATGAACAGAGGTCAGGGCAGCACAGATGGGTTTAGTCAGGTGGGGTTTTGCTGTAGGAGCTCTTGATTTCCAGCAAGTTTCCTGGGTCTTGCTTTCTTTCCAGTGCATTTTGGAACTATACAGTGGTTATTGGATTTTTACCAGTTTGAAACAAAAGTTGTTTAGCATCATTGTGCCAGGCAACGGCAGTAGACTCCTGTTAAAATAAGCACAGTTGACAACATCAAATGTGGAGGAAACCGCCTGATAAAAGTAGCATCCCTGGAGTTGGAAAAAAAAAAAGAAGAAGAAGAATGATATTCTGCATCTGGACTCGACCACTGTCCCCTGTCTCCTGGCTGGAGCTGTCCTGGGGTTCAGGCCCTGACCAGCGGACTCTGGCTCTTAATAACTGTTCCTCTAAGACATCTGGTAGCTTGTTTTTCCTGTGTCAGAAGAAATCCTGTCTCAAAAAATACACGGAAACAAAGAGAAGAACATTTAACCCTCAGCAGGAGTAAATACTGACAATATTTTAGTACGTACTCATCCAGTGTTTTGTATGCATACTTTTAAATTTTTTTATCAGAAGTGAAGCCCTCCTCTCTTCCCCCCAGCGTGTTACCAGCTTGTTTCATAACGTGCTATTTTCCCATCATTAAATAATTACGTCAGTTTTGTATTTCTTTTGTCCCGCATTCTGTCAACTCTTGTTTGGTCTGCGCAGACCAAGGGTACAGGCACCTGCTGGCCACAGATGTCTCATGCCGCGGTTGACCTCCTTTATGAGGAGAAGTCAGTCTGCGGAGATGTCTGCGGGGGATCAGTATGTAAACAGGAGTGGGGAGGATTGTTGTTTCTCTGATAAAGGCTTATTTCAGGGACTTGCTGAGTCAGGAGGCTCTTCTGGCAGGGGGGTCCAGAGCAGGGGTCTCCGGCCAGTCCTGGGCCACGTGGCGGGGATGCAGATGCGAAGGAGCCAGGACTAGAGTCACGTACAAGGTCAGGGCAGCGCCGTGTGCCAGGCTCATTTGCACAAGAGGAAGGCAGGGGTCCTTGGGTGGGCTTCTGTGCTGAGAGCGCAGCTGTGGGGGCATGTGTGGGGCCGGAAACGTGACCGGTGGGACTAAGTGGCTTCAGCCAGGAAGGGCAGGCAGGGAGCCACGCGGATCACTCGTGCAAATCGAACTCCCTGGGTCCCCTGGGCTGCCAGGGACCGTAAGTCATTCCATCTCTAAGTTTGTGTCTTCACTGCCCACATTGGCATAAGTAAAGGCAAATTCAGAATACCCAAAAGGATCTTGTGTATTGAAAACACTAGCACTTAAAAACGAGAGCTCTGGAAGCAGAGTGCCTGGATTCACATTCCAGCTGTGCCTCCTTCCTAGGCCTGCTAAACGCGGAATAGAAGGTAAGGAAACAATAGGGAGGGATGAGAACGGAATGCGCTCAGAAGTGCGGAGGAGCGTGCCTGCTGCAAAGCTCTTCTCTCCGCTGTCTATCAAGCGGGTCCCACAGGGAGGCTTTGCCGTCCAATAGCATCGGCACGGGGACCCCCAAACCCTGAGCCAGCTTGGGCTTCTTGGCAGAGCGCAGACGGGATTTCTGGCAGGCCAGTGCCTTGGAATTGGGATCTGAGCCAGGTTTTGGAAAGCATTCCAGTTCTGCAGCACCTTCCTCAGGCAGCTGTCAAAGAGGTGGATGCCGTTTTCAAGGCTACTGTCGTCTGTAAAGGGTGTTGGGTGGAGGCGGTAATTGTGCCCGTGGGGGATCCTAGGTTGTGAATTGAAAGCCTGCTGGGTGCCAGCAGACAGGAGTTCTTAGGAACCTGCTTACAGTAGAAGGTAAAGAGGTGTTGTCCTAAACTGCAATACTGTCTGTGTCACGTGATGGCTGCAGGGGTTCCAGCCATTTCTGAGCCTGAAAAATCCTCAGCGGGTTCTGGTAGACATTAGCCACTGGGAAGGTGATGGAGCCTTCTCTGCCTGGAGAAGGTAGGCCTCTGTTCTGGAACTGTAGTTCCCAAATGCTAATGTGACTTCAGATTGGCTTCTTAAGAAACACCACAGTGGTGTAAGAGCTTCTTCCCCCATTTCTAGGAAGTTATGACTTAGGCCTTTGGTGGCACAGAAGAACCTCTGGGCAGTTCTCACGCCACAGGTAGGTTTGGGGACGTCCATACTCCTACCACCTCTTACTAAACCATATAACGTTCTCGTCTTGCGAAATGAGAACGCCTAATACAGGGAACAGTGTTAATACGTCTAGTTCTCCATGAACTGGGGTGGCCCAGAGGACAGACGCAGGCTTTCCAGAGCGAGCAGCCATGAGTTTGAATGGCTCCGATGGGAAGAGGCCCTCACTAGGTCAGCGTAACAACCACGGTGCCCACCTCCTTGCAGCCAAAGCCTCCAGGTCCCCCAACAGCACACCATTCGGCTGGAATGCAGTCGGTCGGGGTTGGCACATGAGGTGAAATTGATTTGCCTGGCCGCTTGTCCAAGACTCGGCATCCTCGTCTGTAATTTAAGGGGGAATGCAAAAATTTTAACTGGGTGACACAAGAGGAACTTTTTTGTTGGAGGTGCTGCCCAGCGTCTGACCTTCCGGCGCTTGGAGACCATGCTGTGTTAGCCCTGCTGGGTCCCCATCCCGTCCCTCTCAGAAAAGCCTCTGCTGCTGCAGGACCAGCCTGGGCCCTGGGTTTCACAGACCAGACAGGCCTGTCCCAGACTCTGAGTCAGGGACTGATAGAACAAGTGGCCTCTTCCTCATCCCGTTTCCAGAGGCTGCTGCATTGGGAGCAGAGGCGTGACCGGCTGTGGTCTTCCAAACCTGGTCCCCTAGTCCTCTGTGGTTGCCATCGTTCCAGTGAATTCCTTTTCACTTTCCCAGCAGCTCTCAGTGGCTCGTAATCGAGAACCCAAGGCCCCTCTACCATTTAGTGATTCTCTGACTTGGTTTCTGTGTCTCCTGCCCCTGCAGGTGAGATGCCTGGGTTGCTTCCCACCCTTCATGCCCCGCCTTGCCCAGAGTTGCCCTGTTGCAGAGCACAGGGGAAATGGTGGACTTGGAGCCGGGCCAGGACATGCGAAAGGCAAGGATGGGTGAAAGGAAGAACAAGTGGCCAGTTCCCCACTTCTAGGCACACATCATGGAAAAGCTGGTCTGGAGCTGGAGGTGTTAGAAGCAGGAGAAAGGGGTGCCTCCAGCGTCGCCCAGCCTGGCGGGGAGCATGCACTGGGGAGAGCCAGGCTTACGGGCCTTGGGTGGCCCAGGGCAGCAACCTCTGGAGCGAGGCAGAACTTGGTGGGAATCTCTGTTCCACCACTTACTGTGAGACTTTGAAGAAGTGAACTTCCCTCTCTGTGCCTTCAGTTTCCTCAGCTGTAGAAGCAAGCGGCAGTGTCAACGGGAGTGAACGTAGTGATGCTAGAGAAGCGTTTAGCACAGAACAGAGCAGTCCGCTATTAGAAATGACCGTTATCAGTAACCGCTTCCAAGAACATCAGGAAAGGGAGCAGACGGTGAGAAACCCGAAAAATGCTGTTCTCTAGAACTCACCTGCCCTCGCACAGCCTCTTGCCACCGTCAGAATGTCATGGACTTGGTGTCTTTAGACCAGTAAACTCTGGGGTCTCCTGCTTCTGACTCCCCAAGCTGCCCAGCAGAGGGCCCTTCGGCAGGGCTGGAAGGGACAGCGGCTGCCACAGGGGTGCCGGACTCCCCCTGCACCCCTGCAGAGGTTCCCAGGCGGGGGCTGACTGGGCTCTGTTTTGCGGTAGAGGAGGGCTGCGGGGGGCTCCTCTCCAGCTACAGGAACGGACGGCGTAGGGAAGAGTGGGGAAAAGCACTTGTTGGTTTATCATCCTCCAACCATGTGCTTAAGACGCTGAGCTATAGGTCTGAGCCCTGGGAAGGCCAGCCTCTGACTTCAGCGCTCTGTATACTTGGACTTCTTTACACCTGCCTTCTGGCAGCCCTGGGAAGGACTGGCATCATCCCCATGTTACAAAGAGGAAAAGAGAGCTCAGAAGAGAGTCGCTATTAGCTGCTTTTTTTTTTAATGTTTATTTTTGAGAGAGAGAGACAGAGCACTAGTGGAGAAGGGACAGAGAGAGAGGGAGACACAGAATCTGAAGCAGGCTCCAGGCTCTGAGCTGTCAGCACACAAGGCTTGAACCCACACACACACCACAAGATCATGACCTGAGCCGGAGTCGGTCTAACTGACTGAGCCACCCAAGCGCCCCTAAAGTCACTAATAGCTTCTTAAGTCAATGGCCTGTGGCCACTTCTGTTTCCAGCAGGATCTCTGTTATACTGTAGAGTGCACTCCCGCTCAGCCCGATGCCAGGGGCACTCACTCACTTGGCTCCTTGGCTGAGCTGGGCTTTTCCTCCTGCCACAGGAGAGGGGACACAGGAGAGTCCAGGCAGTGCCTGACAACCTGAGTCCTGACAGCCGGCCGTGCTAGGCGAGGACACGCCAGTGCTTACGGCAACCAGGGCAGCCTTGATTGAGCAAAATGAAAGGTCAGAAACCACAGAGCGGTGGCTTCACCTTTGTCCTCTGTACCGTCTTCCCCTTCTTGCTACTTGAAGGACATTCTGTACGTGTGCACGTTGTTCAGGATTCTTGGCAACCCGTTGGAAGTAGCTGCATTCGGCCTTGGGACCGTGCTTCACAGCCATAAAAACTGGAGTTTGAATATTAATAGGACTCCACGGGAATTGAAGGAACTTTAAGACAAGCTATGTGTTGACCCCAAGTCCGATATTTATCAGCCTCCTTACAGACTATTCTACAAACCCCGATGTGGCAAGGAATTAAATTCACCACCATTCGCTGCCTCAGAGAATTGTCCTCTGACAAATCCGGTTGGGTCTGCCCTTTCTCATCTGCAATGTAGAGAGCAGTGTCCCCTTATGTGTTCCCCCTTAACCCTTTCAGGGGCCTGGGGGTCATAAACGGGGATTGAATGGCCAGAGGACTCAGCTTTCTTGTCCGTCTTTCTTCTCCTCGCCTCTAAAGACCTGCGAAACATGCCTGAACAGGTTTCCATAGCAATATTTCCTGAGCAAGAGGTGAACTGAATTGCACTACTGAAGGAGCCCGGGGGAAAATATTAATAAGCTGAGAAAGTCCAATTGTTGTACAGGCCTGGAGGCTGTTAACACTGGGGCGGGAGGGACAGGGATGGATGGATTCCCTGGGTAATGAGGAAGTGCCTCTGCCTGCTCACGTAACCCACGGTGTGGAAAGCCACAGCTCACCCCCAATTTCCCCAGCTCTTCACCTCCAAGCCATGCATCCCAAAAGCTCAGGTGACAGAAGACAAATGTAAACAGGGAGGGAAGGAGGGAGGTACTTGAAAGTCCTATCTAAAAAGAAGTGTTTTGCAAAGGTCTCCCACAGGAATTCTGGGAAGATGGTAGCAGTGATGCCAGGATAACTTGGATTTTTCTGAACCCCACATAAAAGTCGAGTCTCTAGAGAGCAAAACTAAGAAGACGGAGACGATAATTACAACAAAAGTAGGTGACAAATGTCCCCAAAATACAAGTGGGTGGGACAAAGCACCAAACTGCAGGAGGAAATAGGCAGCAGCTGATGGACCTGAGAACAGGAGGGTCCCCAAAATACGCAAGGGGTGTGGTTTGAGGACAGCAGGTTTTCCCC